GGTACGGACCGAAGGACGGAGTACGGTACGGTACGAGACGTAGGGTTAGTAGTAAACGTACCTTAAGTTAAAGTATGTGTCTCTAGTTCTCATGAGATGCTGAAGTAATTCTTTCAGAAGATTAGAGGAACACTCAGATTACCTTATCAAATATTTATTTTTTTTATTCCTGTAAACTGCCAGTGGAGCATAGGATCGCAACAACCCCTTGCCAATGGAAGGTGTTGTTGCAGTTACTTGTAGCAGGTTGTTTTTTATGGGGTGGAGTTGCTAGCCCCACACCCAACCCTCCTCCTTTCTCATCCTGGACTTGGGACCAGGCAAAGGCGGAGGTTGGCATGTTTGGTGTGACGGGGATTCGAACCTGCGACCCTCAGATTACGAGTCGAGCGCCCTAACCACCTGGCCATGCCGGGCCTATCAAATATATTTACAACTGTAAATTCTCTATAATTAAAATTACCACAATATAACATGTTCATGTGATCTTAATTTGAATGATTACAATGAAGAAACAAATCTGAATATACCTCATCAATCTCGCACATCTTAGTCCATAAATACACTTGATCCTGTGGTGGATAAATGGTGTACTTCTGTTGTTCATTCTCCAGGAACTTACTCAACTGGAAGGAATATAGTTAAATTTTTAACAAACCATAATTTCAGAAAAACGTGCATCTTTTATAGTGAAATATATAATAACTTAGAGAATGTTCTTGTTTATTTAAATGTCACTACATTCCATAAGCTCAGAGTACTCATAAATATAAAAATGAGATGTACATCAAATATTCATTAAACTACTAACAAATGAAATCTTGATCATCTAGAATAAGAGGGTAATGCACTTCAAGACCCAACTCAAAACATATTTATATAAAGGTTAACATTTTCTTAAATTGAAAATGTATTTCCAATAATACTTACCTCCTCTCACACTTATAGCCATTACTTAACCACCAGGGTTTCTTCCTTTGCCCATCTAAGCATTGGTCTGATTATTTTTTGCTAGGTCCAATCTTTTACACCCCACTCAATTGCCCTTGGCTATATATATCTCATGATACTCTCCACCTACGTCAATGCACCCTCTATCCTGGTACTGTATATAAGCACCACAATCAGATAACGTTAACACTTTTTTTAAACTGACTCCATCCCAGTCTCTAACACCAGCTATTAGTAGGGAGGAAGGATGGGAGAATGTGAGAGGAGGTAAATATTATTGGAAATACATTTTCAATTTAGGAAAATGTTAACTTCCTAAACGTACATACCTTCACTTACCGGTGAAGGAATTATCCATACAGAAAGCACATACATAGATCAAATAGAAGATTGACACTCTAGTGGGGGAACCACACTACAACCAGAACAGGTATGCTCTTAACCCTTGTATCATGAGTGGAATTGTACTTGAGTGATCATCACTATAGGCCAGCCCCAACCAGATAATTGAGGTTTCATTACCCGGGGCTGGAATTAAGAGATTTTGGTCTTGGATCACAATGTTATGTATATATACTTATGAGTGGATCCCAACCTGAAGCCACAGAGTGAATCATTTCGAGTCACTGGAATCACAACAAGAAAGTAAGCAACACTGAAGTGAACAAACCTTCTCCTCCACCTGAAAAAGCCCAAAAATCAACACCTCAGGCCTGGAATGACCAAAGGAAACAGAACTAATCTGGTCTGGAATTATGAACATTCATCCTCACTCCCCAACTGAGTGGGCAAGGTACATTCCCCTTGGCCCCAGAATTATGGGTAAGACATGGAACAACTGTGCTCAACCAAGCACCCAGGATGGGATCACTTTGCTTTCAGAATTACGATGTAGTGAACCCTCTTCATGAACAATGTACTGAAAATATACTGATCAAACAGATGGGCTATGCACTTCTCAACCAGATAGCGAAAAATCAAATCTGAACCCGTATTACAAGTAGACTCCCACGTAGCCCTGTGCCACTCCTACTCACAACTGGGAAAAACATCCAGAGACCCAGTTAGGAGGGCCCCAACTTCACTTTCTTCTCCAAGAGTGGAGGAATTCACTCTATCACTCTGGAGGAAAAGCCTTAGTCCACCACCCCAGTGACTGGAAACTGGGTGTGGTAGTCTTAGCTCAATGAGTAGAATATGGGGGGGGGGTGTGCTATGGGGAGTCCTGAGTGCTGGAAACAGTGCAATAGGTGAACCAAGTTCCCTAAATTTTGAAAAACAAACTGACCCCAATTTTTTCAATCCAATGATTGGCAGGGACAGGCAGGATCCCCTTATGCTTTACTCATGATAGGCCATGAGTGGTGGTCCAGCACAGTACAGTAATACCACCTGGTCAGCTCATAAGTGGTTTTATGGAACACTGCATTTTTACAGAGCCTGTTTCAACCTGTATAAAGTATATTGAAATAGTGGTTGCTAGTGCAGAATTGGTTTGATAAAAGCACACTCACCACAGAGTGGTGTCCTCTGAAAATAAGGTAAAAGACCCTGAAAGGTACCAATGAAAATATTCACCCCTCTGTATAATCTAGCAGAAATGGATGAGATAGTTACAGGTGGTAGGTGAAACCCCTCAGAATAACAGACTGCCAGATCATGCAAATAATGTGAGATAAAAATATTGGGGGAGGTCCACATACCAGTCTGCACAATGACCTCCAGTGGGCAATTCAACCAGACCACTACGGACATAGAAATGTAACAAAACTGAATAGAAGTGACTTGCAGAAGATTCCTCTCCTTCAAAAAGGGCTTGGAATAAAACATTCATTGTCTAGCATCTCTAAAGGCATTAGTGCAGGCAACCAAACCTTCAAGACCCACACTTAACAGGACAATGATTGAAATCTGATCAACATAGGAGTGAAATATAGTGATCAGATGAATCAGTGAAAAGAAGTTAACCCCTTTCCTTTTTGACAGTGTCTTCAGTAAGAAGAACTGGTCTAAAAATGTAGCAAGAAGGAGTAAGCGGTCTGAGGAGAAATAATGCAAATCACTCCAACCAGTGACATCTGTTGGCCAGCAGCCACGAAAAATAAACCCACGAATAGGGTCTGAACTATGACCCCCTGTAGGAACCGATGAAATTTGAGTCTCCAAAGACAACAGGGAGGAATGAAGAAGCTGAAAATTGAACCAACATGTGCGTGAACAATGGGTTTAGCTCGTCAACAATGAAGTTGGTGATCCTGAGAGTCTTCCAACAAAGTGGAGGAAAAGGAAAACACAATGTTGGATTTTAGAGTTGCTAATCGGGAATTTTTCTTAAGGAATTTGTTTACTTTTTTTTGTTGTTAATTATTATTATTATTATGAAAATGAACTAGATAACACGGTTAACGTTCAAATAATCTCTAAATAATCATAACACTGGGAAGCCCCTTAGTGACGCTTTGTCATGAAAAAGTGATAACATTACCTGAATGTGGTGCTTATATACAGTACCAGGATAGAGGGCACATTGATATAGGTGGAGAGTATCACAAGATAAATATCGCCAAGGGCAATTGAGTGGGGTATAAAACACTGGAGTAAGGAAAGGAAAAAAACCCTGTCAGTTGAGTGATAGCTATAAGTGGGAGAAGAGATACGCATGTTTCGGAATACCAGATTTATGTGGGTGCAAAAAATGAAATTATATGCATGATGACTTTTTTAAAAACTATCATATATGATGAATGTGATAATTTGGCAATAGTCTAATATGAGAAAATTCCTTTTGGACAGCATATTTAAAATATCTTAATTCTCTATTAATGCATATCCACATGCTTCAGTAGTATAACCATGGTACATTTTCACAATACTTAGTTTCTGCTGTGTTTCCAGCAAGTCTATTGTCCATTGAATAACTGTGATACTGTGCTCTAATGTTCAGCTTTATGTTGAAAAGTCTTAGGAATTTAAAAAATTCACAACTTTAGAGGGAAAAAATCTGAATGACTAGAACTGCATGAAAATGTCTAAATTATTCTGATACATCTAGGGGCTATATCATAATATATTTAACTTCTATAATAAAATACTGATACATGTACCACCTTCTGAAAATATTCCTTTGTAAATTCTGTTTCCAGTGCTTTGTACCAAGATAATCCAATTAATGGACATAATGCCCTTGTTTTCTTGGCCTGCAACTTTAATTTAGCTTGCAACTTGTTATTTTCCAGTTGTTTCAACTGTGCTGGAGAAAGCTGTTTGGCAGAACTCTGAACTTCTTCGGCACTAAGGGTAGTTTTAAGTCTCTTTTCTACATGGACAACCTAAATACAGATGAAATTAGTCAAAACGTTTAACAAAATTCAATAATGTAAATGGCAAAATTGTTTAATCTCATGTGACATTTTTTTGTTTGTTTCTTTGTTTAACTTTTAAACTAAAATATTTCAAGATAAACTTTGATTCTGCATTCTTGAATATGTACTACATGTTATTTTAAACATTTTTGCAGTGGCAAAATCATATATAGGCAGTAAAATACTTAGAAAACCTTTTAAAATTTTGTGAAAATATTTTTCAAGTATGTTTTTGTGCAGGTCAATTACAGTACATTAAAATTCTATATAATCACAATTACATATATTAGCTGAATGGCCATCATATGATGGTAAATGCCGATTAATTTTTCTTCTAAAAATTAAATCTAAATCTTTTACGAACATATTTTATTAAAATTGATTATACCATAGTAACAACATATGTATAAATAATACTTATCCTTTTTGCAGTATTTCACGAAAACAACATTTTTT